GGAAGGTCCTTGTCTGCGCACCTCTGCAGCCCTCCCGCGGAGATTGGTACGGCCTGGCTGCTGGGCGGGGGCGCGGAGGGGGGAACCCAGCACGTGCAGGGGGCCGGCCCAGAGCGTGCGCCCCGTGTTGTTTGAATGTTTTTGGCAAGGCCTTTTCCTTGGCTACAGGTGCCGTGGTCCCGCCTCTGGTCGGTATCAGGGATTACTTAGGTTAGGGCTGGACTCCTACACCACCCAGGCTGCCTGTACCTTTCCATCTCTGCGTTAAGAAACCTCCCAGACTCTCTGTCTATGCATTGCTGAGCGCTGGGGACCCAGCCCAGCCAGCCGGCGCCCTGCCCTTGGGAAGCTCACGTTGGTGGTGAAGGTGGTGGGTGAGGGCGGTGTTGGCCGCACAAACATCCTGGCAGCAGGTGCTGGGGAGAGAGAGAAGCCCCTGCCTTGGGCTGGGGACTGGCTGCATTTCCCAGAGAGGATAGTGCACAGTAGCTTTGGAATTAGATAGACCGGGAGTCCAGTTCTAGCCCTGCCTTTCTTTTCTTTTTCTTTTCTTATTCTTTTCTCTTCTCTTCTCTTCTCTTCTCTTCTCTTCTCTTCTCTTCTCTTCTTTCCCCTCCCCTCCCCTCCCCTCTCCTCTTCTTTCCTTTTCTTTTTAATATGTTTTTATTGATTTTTAGATAGAGAGGAAAGGAGAGGGAGAGAGAGAAGGAAACATCCATGAGAGAGAAACATCGACTGGCTGTCTCCTGCATTGACCTCTACTGGGGATCTAGCCCACAACCCAGGCACCTGCCATAACCAGGAATCCAACCGGTGACCTCTTGGTGCACAGGACAACGCTCAATCCACTGAGCAACACCAGCTGGGCATGGCCCTGCCTTTTCGGATAACCAGTTTCCATATCTGTAAAATGGTACTAAGGACAATTACCTTGTGAGGTGCTTTGAGAACTAGATGAGATTAGGTATGAAAAAAGCTTAGCCTAGTGCCAGGCATGTAGAGAGTGTTCCAAAATTATTTCCGTTGTCTGCTGATGAGTAGTTTTGTATTTGGAAGGCAGAAGGACAGGCATAATAAAGTCTTAGAAAAGCCAGCATGTTTGGGGCAGGGCTAGGGCACCTGGAGTGGCTGGAGCTCAGGCAGCTGTGGGAAAGGGGGCTGGGCTTGATCTTCTGAAGGTCCTCGAGTGCCACTCTTGGGACGTTGGGGTGGGAATGGAGCTTTTGGAATGGCTTTGAGTAGAAAAACGACAGTGGTCAGATTAGTTTTCAGAGCCCTCTAACCACGGTGAGAATGCATGGGAGAGGCTGGGGGCCGGGAGGGCCGTGAGGGGCTGCGGGAGGGACCCAGGTAGATGAGAATGAGCCCAGAGCTAGGGCAGTGGTGGAGGGAATGGCGGGAAAGGCCCGGTCTAGAGAAAAGCATAGGAGGCAGTGAGATGTATTGAACTGCAGTTAGATGACTTATTGGATGTTGAGGGTGAGGGAAGGGGTGGGGGCAACAAGCCTGTCAGTGAAAAGACAGATTTCTTGGGCACAGCATAAGAGGAGAGGGAATCTCTGCTGTTTACCACCTCGGGGGGAGGGATATGATAGAGGCCACAGTGCCAGGGTAGCATGTGACAAATGCGACTCATGGGACCTAGAAACACTTCTGTTTGTTCAGCCCTCTCAAGGCCATAGGAGTTAACCGCTTTGAGAAAACATCATTGTGCTCTGAGGCTTGAGTTGACCAAGAGTAGAAGAAAAAGCATTCTAGATAGAGCACGTGAGAGGCTCTGAGGCTGAAAAGCACTTGGTACCTTTAAGGCAGTGGTTCTCAACCTTCTGGCCCTTGAAATACAGTTCCTCATGTTGTGACCCAAGCATAACATTATTTTCGTTGCTACTTCATAACTGTAATGTTGCTACTGTTATGCATCATAATGTAAATATCTGATATACAGGATGGTCTTAGGCGACCCCTGTGAAAGGGTCGTTCGACCGCCAAAGGGGTCGCGACCCACAGGTTGAGAACCGCAGCTTTAAGGAAACTGAGGGAAGGCTAGCGGAATACCAGGTTTGTGGGGGACACTGGGGACTGGCATGTGCAAAAGCAGGAGGTAGGAACATGTGGGTGTATTTCTGGGTAAAGGAGAGTACAGCCAGGTAGGTGCGGAAGAAGCCACTGAGTTCTTGCATCCTCTCCCCAAAGGTGTTTTGGGGTCCTCTGGGAAGAAGACTCCTGCTGGCCTGGAAGGACCCCAGGTCAGTATGTGGATGAGCCTCTTCCAGAAGGGTCTCCTGTGGAGGAGGCCCTGTGGAGGAACCCCTGATAGTATGATCTAAGGGGCAGAGCTTGGGCTGGGAGGCAGGAGGCCTAGCGTATGGCCTGTCCTCTGTCACTGACTTGCCAGGTGTCCTTAGGCAAGTCTCTATCCCCGGCTGGGTTTCAGTTTCTGCATCATGAAATGGTGGTGACAGTTTCCATATTACTGACTTCATTGCAACATTTGAGGATCAACGGAAATCACAACATGTGAAAGGGTGTTACCACTATGCTATGAAAAGTAAGATATTATCTTAAATGGCACGATTTCGGGTCTTTGAAACATTCAGATCCCAAGTTAATCTACTTCAGCGTGTTTTTCCTGGGCACCTTCCTGGCCCTGGCTTTCCTTGGGACACAGACATAGTCGTTGCCTTCGAGGAGACCCAACCAAGAGACGGTGTCTCAAAGCCACTGTTTGCAACCAGACAGCCAAGCTGTAGTGCCGGGGAACGTGGGAGGTTGTGCTGAGTTCAGCCCTTCCCTCCTGTGCTGTCACTGTCTGTCTGCTGTGTCTGCCTCTCTGTTGGGCCAGGAGCTTCCCAGAGGCAAGAACTTCCTCATCCTGTGCCCCTGTGCAGGCCTGCTCGGCATAGAGCCTCAGTCCATGGTGGAGCATCAACCATGAATGAGTACCATAGAGTCATGGACAAAGTGCTAGGGGAGCATCGAGGAGGGACGGTAAATTGGGAAGGTTAAGAGGAGATGACATTGCTGCTGGTCCTGAGATGAGGACGATTCTGCCTGGCAGAGAGGAAGGAGAAGGGTGTTCAGGCAGAGCCTGGAGTTGGGAATCATGAGCACCTGGTGGGGCTGGAAGAGGAGGACTGGCAGGAGAGGGGTAGGAGATGGCTGGAGAGATCGACAGGGACCAGATCTGAAGGACTTTGTAATCCAGCCACAAAGCTTGGGTTTTATTCTGTGGGGTTCAAACCAAAGGAGGGGTGTGAGCAGAAGAGCATCGTGATCAGATTGGAAGGTTGGAAAGAACAGGTAGGTTGGTAGTGTAGAGCGGGGGCAGGGCTTGGGGAATGGGACAGTAACACCTGTCGCAATTTGGGCTCTTCACACACATGTGCGAGCATCCACCAAAGGATGCAGAGGCAAGTCCAAGGCCTGAGAGGGGCCATCTCTTGCTTCTGGGCCACCTCGCTGAGTGACAATTCCTCCTACTGGCCCCTAGCCGCCAAGCTCATGGCTGCTGCTTTAGCAGTTTGGCCCAGATTGGCTTTGGATGGAAAACCAGACCTAGAATTAGAGCAGCCCAGGGAGGCCGTTTCTTGGCAGCTTTCTGTGTCCTGGGACTGTGTTCCTCTGTGTGAAGTGAGCATGGGGCTCCCACAAGGCACTGACTTCCCCTGGTGCCCTCCCCACACATCCTACCATCCCTACATTCCTGTCTATAATGGCCTGCCCTGCGCTTCCTGTGGGTGTGTGAACAGGACGGCTCCGGGACCTAGGTCACCTTTTCTTCATCGTCTCCCAACTCAAGCCACAGGTGGTTGGGCCAAACCACAGACAAAGAAGTCAAGCTACCAACTGGGCTTGACCAGGAGGGTTTCACCAAGGGTAGCACCTCCCACCGTACCCACGTCGGTCACCAGTGCTGTGCTGCCGTTAGGAATTATGGGTACAGCTTGTAGCTTATGAGGAGTTGGATACTTGCCCCTCTGAGATTCCCTATGGTAATGACAGCCTTAGTCCCTCCATGGCACGGATGAGGAGGGTAAGTGACCAGCCTGCAAGGCAGAGAGGACACTTACCCTAAGAGAGGAACAGGCTTAAAGGCAGAAACACATTTACCAAGCCCGGTCTGTGTGATGTTAACGTAAAAACATTCAAACCTGTAAAGAATTTTTGTGAGTTTATTTGAGCCAAACTGTCAACAATTGCCGGGAAGCAGAATCTCAACGATTGGGATAATGCTCCGGAGAATGGCGGTTTTTTACCTTGTTTTTGTAAATTACCGTAAAAGGAGGAGACGCAAGTGGGTTACATGAAATCCATTGGTGATAGATCAGGGAGGTGGGAGAAAGCAAAGGGGGGCAGGGCGGGGGGAGGGATTGGATTAAAAGTGAAATGATGGACACATGCTCCTTTTCCATAGGTGGGTACGGGATAGTTAACAGTAGACAATTAACACGGTAACAATAACAATGAG